CCAAACGAGTCCCAATGCTTCATCTTTATTCTCAATTAAATTAAAATCAGGGCCCCCACCGGCCCCTGAGCCACGGATTGAAAACACTGAATCCAAAGCAGAGTTTGTTCCAGGCGGGAGGATGAATCTTCCCCGTCAGCAGGGTCATGGTCGGAATCTGTCCTGGAAGTTTGTAACTCCTGTTTCTGTGTCCAGATGACGTTCCCGCTCCGCTGGCTCTGTCCCTACATCCCTCTGTGCCCGCTGCAGATGGCAGACGTGTTGCTGGCACCCATGCCCTTCATCGTGGGCGTCCACTCCAGCTACTTCGACCTGCACGACCCCCCCACCGACGTGGTGTGTGTCGACCTGGACGCCAACACCATCTTCCAGTGAGTCTGACGCCACCTGTGTTCGTATCTTCAGCAGTCTGCTCTGATAATTATCCACAGGAGCAGTTTGTGTCTCCGGCTGTAAACATGTTTATTTCTGCTGCAAACTTTTAACATGGGAGTCTATGAGTCTCTGCTGCCTCTGCTGGACGTCAGAGGAACTGCAGCGTTTGATGTTTCAGCATTATCTTCATTGGAGAAAACTTTCCTCCTTTTCCTCGTTTCAGGTCAGATGACAAGAAGCCACTGTCATGGCGTTCGTTGCCCAGGAAACACGGAAAGATGCTGTTCAACGTCCTCAGCAACCTCCACAAGACGCTGGAGAAGAGTGAGCGACTGTAACGGCTGAACTCGTAAACCATGTGTAAACAGGTTTGCGTCATTTAGTGACTCTCACTTCTTGTGGCTGCAGTTTGCACTCCCGGCCAGGAGGAGGCGACGCTGGAGTTCCTGCTGACCGACTACGACCAAATCTACAGGCGTCAGAAGCAGCTGGAGCTGGAGATCCAGGAGGCCTTCCTGCGCTTCATGAGCTGCCTGCTGCGAGGCTACAGAGCCTTCCTGCTGCCCATCACGCAGGCGCCGTCCGACACCACCACCGACTGCAGCTCCCTGTTCAACCTGCAGGGTGCGCCCTTCTTAACGCCGGCGGCTTTTGTGTGCAGAGCTGTGAATCAGGCGTGTGAGATAAGCCGCTCCTCTTCCTCTTTGTGCCGCAGGTTTCCTGAAGTCTCGGGATCGAACGCAGCAGAAGTTTTACAGCCAGCTGACCAGGACGCAGATGTTCACCCAGTTCATCGAGGAGTGCTCGTTCGTCAGCGACCGCCACGCCTGCCTCGAGTTCTTCGACGAGTGCGTGCAGAAGGTCAGAGCGGCGATTCTTTCTCGCGTTGCTCGGCTAGCACCGAGCGAAGGTTCTGATTGGTGTTCTGTTGCTGAGCAGGTGGACGTGGAGAAGCCGGAGGAGGTGAGGCTGATCGACCTGGACGAGACGCACAGCGGCGAGCACACCGTCTTCATCATGCCTCCCGAGGAACCGCAGGAACCGGATGGGTCTGAGTGCCCCGCCCTCTACAGGTACAGCCCCGCCCTCTACAGGTACAGCTCCGCCCTCAGGGGCCGTGGAAATGGGTGGGGTGGCTTGTTTGCTGTGGAGGTGGGAGGATGGTCAGGATGTTTTCAGGTGACCCGTTAGCCAATGAGCTGCCACCCTCCTGCCATCGTGGAGCGTCTCGATGTGAACAGATGTTTCAACACTTTTCATTAAACACGTTTTTATTTGCTGCAAACAGACTGGGTGGCGTCCTCTCGGGGAGGAGGAGCCACGTCAGCCACCTGCTCACACTTGTTTCCCTCTCACCTGTGCAGCTATGAGACCTTCCCCACCCTCAAACTAGAGCTCTTCGACCAACCCCAGGACCAGCTCCGCGTCCCAGCCAAGGGCAGCGCCCCCAGTAGCCCCGCCCCCCGTCGCACCAAACAGGTAAGACAAAGATGCTGAGCAGAAAGGATCTTGTGTTGTGTTAATTCGTGTGTACAGAGCACGCTCCGACGGGCGCAGCGATGCGTTCAGGAGAGCGCCGAGCGTGCAGGTTTCCTCCCGCCCTCTGAGCTGAAGCTCGCTGTGACCCAGTTTCTCTCAGAGTGGCGGCGAGAGGAGGAGCTTTAACAGGCGTCCATTCATCATTGTCATTTAATGAACTGGTATCAATATTTCAGCACTCATTAAACATGCAGAGGCCACAGACGGCGTGATGAGAGCGGCACAGACAGCAGGAGGAGAGCATGCATCGCAGCAGAGCTGTTAGAGCGCCTCCTGGAGGAGACCTGCAGCTTCATCAGTGGGAGTGAAGCATTTCTGCTGCAGTTCCTCCCATGTCCACTTGAGGCTCCACGCCTAGCCTCAGCCTGCTCTCTGCTGTTGTCGAGCTCACTGGACGCTCTGCAAACACAGGCGACAGGCATCCTGATTAAACTAATAGTCATAATATCAGAGCTGTGATTGGTTCCTGTGAGCGATGCTCCTGGAAGTGCTGACAATAAGAGCAGCGTGCTGCAGCTCACCGGTCAGCTGTTAGATACTAACATTCAATAATTAGTCTGATCCTCAGCTGGACTCTGAGATTATGACTCAGGTCAAACTGTCACAGGTTTGTAGGCGCCGGTGCTGGGAGCAGAGGAAGGTATCCTGATGCTGCTGGTCGGAGACCTGTGCAGGCTTCCACTGACCCTGTAACAGACTCGGGACTTGGGCTGGGCGATATGGCCTAAAATTCATATC